TGCTCCTCCCCCCCCCCCCCCCCCCCCCCCAGCTCTGGGATCCTGTTGTGTCTATTTCCTGACTCTGGAAGGCGAGCTGGGCCAGTTAGTCCTTGGCCCTAATGAGACGGAGGTCATGGCCTTGAATCCCCAGGAGGCTCCACTGGGGAAATGTCCTGGTCTGCAGGCTGCCTCACCCTTTACCGTGTGGGTCCCGGACCAGGGGCTTGGAGCACCACCGTTAGGAGCTCTACGTTCAGCTGCATGTTTACCAGGCACTCGACTCTGCATGGACCTGGCTGAGGGCTTTACACAGATGGTCTCACTTAATCCTCAAGGACCCTAGGAAGTAGGTGCTGTAGCGTCCCTATTCCGTGGAGGAGAAAATCAAGGCTTAGAGAGGAGAAGGGAACTTACCCACAAGTAAATGATGGAACTACAATGCCATTAGCCCTGAACGACACACATTGATAGAGGCAAACAGGAATGAATCGAAAACATGCAGAGATATTAACATTCTTGTGAATGTTTTAGATCAGCGGGAAGGCTGTGTGCTAATAAAACTTTATTTACAAAAACAGGTAGCTGGATAGATGTGGCCAGGGGGTTGGGGTTGTAGGTGACCTCCCCTTCGACCCCCTTTTTTTCAGGCAACAGTTTCTATACTAATTACGTTAACTTGGCAATGGCGGGGGGTGGGGGGATGGGACAGAGAACTAATGCTTCCTTGACCCTATTTTGTGCCGGGCTCTGTGCCAGGCGCTCTGACCTATCAGCACCTGAGTGCGGAGACACCTTCCTTAGGTTAGTGCCACTCGGCTTGACCACTCTTCTGTTTAAGAGGGGATGAGCTGAGGCTCAAGGATGCTACCTTGCCTGACACCTGGGCAGCGGAGCTGGCTTCAAACCCCTCCCGGTCTTCCCATTTCTATTGCACTGCAGCTGCTCAGGTACGTTTGTATCAGACCAGAGGGAGGTGTCTCAGAAGCGGGGAGGCAGGGTAAAACCGTCTTGGATTTAATCCCTTCCCCTGTGCACATCTATCCGAGAGCCTGCTGCGGCCACAAGAATGAACTCGCCACTTCCGCAAACTCACTAGAACTTCCAGCATCGCCTCGTCCTGTTCCTCGAACCCACCGCTAACCACCATCAGCCTCCGCATTTAAAGTCGGTCCCACGACTCCTAACAGCACCGCCAGGCAATGAGTGACTCAACCAGCGACCAATCACACGCGAGTGAACAGAGTTCCGAGACCCAACGGGAGCAGAGGGCCATGTAGCCCCCGGCCACGTTCTCTCCACCAACAGGCCAGGGTCCTGCCTTGCATTCGAAGGCCCCCCCTGTGAGGGGCCGGAGATGGAGCACAGGAGGGAATCCAGGAAGGACTCCTGGTTCTAGAACAAGCCCCAGCCACAGTCAAGTCCCCAGGAAATGTGCCCGGCTTCCACCAAGGCACTGGCTGAAAATGCCTGGCGTTCATGGCCTGAACAGCCGTGAGGTGGGTGGTGGGCCAGTCTCACAAGCTCTGGGTGGTCTGGACCAGGAGCAAGTCTATAGCACAGTATCTATTTGTTTCGGGGCAGGGAGGGGGACAAGAAGTATGGAAACTTGTTATGCAAACCCTTTCTCTGCGTCCACCCGCTGGGCCACCCAGGCCTGCAGCTTGAGAAGACAGACCCAAGGTGAAGGAGCGCGAACTTTCTCCCCAGGGAGCACCAGCCTGAGTCACCCAGAGCCCTTGAAGGCTGGGCTGGTGGGCATCCGGCCACGGGGCCGTGGGCGGAGGGGTGAGGCCGCCTACCTGAGGAGACAGGCCGTTGCTGACGGGGTTCATGTGGTTGGAGGGCGCCGCTGCGTTCATGAAGCTGTCGGAGTAGCTGGAGAAGCTGTGGCGGGCTCCATAAGCGGAGCTGGTGTCCGCG